TGTTTTCTTGTATTTATCACTTTTAAGAGACTGTAAAATATACGCATATTTATGTTGTATCTATATTAAAATTGCTCCAATCACCATAATTCCTGATTTCTACTGAAATTAATAAGGCATATTTTAAGTCAATAATAAAACAATGTCTTATTTTTCGTTTCTCTTAAACGAATTACAACTGTAGAGAATCCTACCATTTCTCCTCAAAATTTATTTTACTAGTACACAGTTTAGTGTTTTTAATTGTCAAAGTAATTGAGCTTCATTTGCATCAAAAATATTGTGGTGGTTTTTTTATGTTTCTCCTAAATAAATTAGTAATGAATTAACCACTAATTTTGTTGTTTCGTGCATAGTTTACTTTTCTTATTTCAATTTGGTCAAGTCGTGGTGGCTCAGATGATAGAGCACATACCTGCCAGAGAGGTGAACCGGTTTTGATTCACTGCGATGGCTGGTTGATACGAATTCTTCACCAAGCTCGTAACGAACACAGTGCTAACGGAAAATACCTTCATTGGTAGACGGATCATTGGTCCAGTCCCCATGACGTCAACCAGAGCAGGTTTTCGTGGTTTTCCTCTTGAAGTAACGCAAATGTGGGTTAGGTCAATCAAAGAGCCTTCTATGAATGCAGAATTCTCCCAATACTTGATCTATGAGTCCCCTTGTCTTCTGGAGTCAATTCAAAATTACAAAGCAATGGAGTTAAACATTGTAGTTATAAACTCAAAATTAGGTCGGTTGCTTAGTTAACGGTTATAAAATGAAGCAAAAATTAGTAATTATAACCAAAATGTAAAAAACATCATTGGAGTCAGTAATAATAATAATGAGGCAAACTTTTGCATTTTTCTAGATCAATTTATTACTTTTTCTCCATTGATTCTGCTGTTCCAGTAGACATTGTTTTTCAAATTTACCAATTCAATTGTGTCTGCAATCAGAATTAATTAAAAATTATAGTCATCAAAAATAGCATGATTATTTTTTTACGTTTCTCTATAACGAATATGTTCTATTTATTCATTAACTTGTGTTTTAGTACACAGCTTTTTTTAGCTTCAGTTAGTTCCTATCATCAAAATTAATTAAAAAACATTGTCATTAGTGATTATATGGAGATTTTTTTTCTCCTTACTTATAGGAATTAGTACCATTCTTCCATTAATTTTACTATTTAGTAGGTAGCATATTTATCTTTTTTTAAAGTATCCATATTTATTAGTATTCATCTCTTATAATTTTTACATTTTATCAAAATTAATTAAGTGTAGTTTATCGAAAATTATTAGTAACGTCAGTTTTTCTTATCATTTTTGTCAACTGAACTAAAATTAATACTTCTTTCCGTAAAAATTCACCAAATTATTGATGCCTCCAGTAATGCTTATTTGCAGTTATATATATTGTGGTAATGAGCAGCTATTATACCAAGATTCATTTTGTAGGTACTGTGGTAATAGATTTTCCGCTCCGAATCGGATTAGTACTCTAATAGCACCATCCTATACTTTCATGTCACCTTATGCAACCTTTATTTTTTTCTTATTTGTTTTTTTTTTCACTGCAGCTTCATACGATTAGATTTACCATAACCCGAGTTAGAAGTTTCCCTCACTAAAATAAGTATTATCTATACATATCACCCAGTATCCTGAAAAAAGTAAATAAATCAAACCTGAAGCCTTACAGTCCTCTTATGACGTCATAGCAGCTCAGATTAGTGTAAATCAATTCATCAAGATCAGGAATAAGGTGAATACAAAGTGTTATTACAAATGTGATTGTGACATTAGGTCACAGCCTAATTTATAAATATCCTGTTTTTTAATCAATAATACTAATTCTTTTGACTTAATTTATAATTTTGTAATACATTTTTTTATTTCATCATATTTCTTTAGCCCCTTAAGCGGTAGCGCAATTTGGACATTCTCCCCCTAAAATTCCTTACCAGCTCCTTGAAGAGCCCCTTTCTTTCGAGAACATTCCACCCTTTTTTTTCTGAGAATTCGCACTGGTTGTCGGCAGCTTTCATCTCCGCGTGTATGTTGTGTTTCTCAACCGTAACTGTTAACGTATAATCAATTTTTCGTCTCAACTCGTGATTTTTAGATAATTTAACTTTAACTTGCACAACATGCACTACAACTTCAACCATTAAGTTTTTGTTTCTTATAAAAAGAGCGCGCGAAAGATGACGATTGCATTTCGAAATTCGAGAGTATCATACTCCACGACACGTCGCGCTGTTGCGTGTTTTATTTTATCCTGTCCTCGTTAGGAGGTGAGGATGGCGTCTCCTTCGCCATTTTTCTTGTGTAGTTTCTCATTTATGAGATGAACCTTTTCTTCAGCCATAGAAAAATTCCACTGACTGCCTGTTTTGCTAATATAGTGGCTTCAATATGCCTTCCAATCAAAATTTCCGAATTTTTGATGGCAGATCATAAAAATCTTGTTCATAAGAACAAAAACGTTATCTTCAATTTTGAGAGAACTGTTGCGATGGATGATTTCTTATCAAGAATCCCAAAATCCGGGAGTGTGCTTCAACTGTCGGTATTGCTGCTAACACCTTGGCCTCCGGTTATCACTTATTGATTAATGGATAAAATTGATCTCTAAGATGGAGGAGAGTGATCATCAACATGCAATTCTGAATTTGATCTCGTCTAAGCCAGTTTCATCCAAAATTTCCGTGTTCCTGAATTTATTACCCAACATGCAGTCTGAATTTGATCTCGTCTAAGCCAGTTTCATCCAAAGTTCCGTGTTCCTGAATTTATTACCCTTCACCCNCTTCTCCACCAGAGACTGTGTGTTGGACACTATTTTTGCCGTTAAATATGGATCCTCAAAATAAAGAGTTTTTTTAGTTTTGAAATAACTGTTTTAATAGTGACTTATTCATCTGGATTTCCTAGAAGGTAACCACAGATTGTTGGAGATTTTCTTTGTAAACTCATCTCTGATCCAGGACTGGATATCTTTTATGGATAGGAAGGTATGTTTTTTGTAGAATACATTTGTTATCTTCTGGAACTCTTTTTTTGAAAAAAATACTATTTTTTCTGGGTTAGCCAAACTTCGTAAATGTACCACTAATTTTTTCACCCGGCCATTAATTTTTATTTTTTTAAAAATTTGTTATCATTTTTTGCAACTTTTCATTTTCTTTTTTTTTATTCTATACCCAACCGTAACAGGGCACACTCCTTTCTCAGACCTGCAGCATTTCAAAACTATGGGATATTGACATTTTAGGTATAAGAGATCCTATAGAGACAAAGACGAGAAAAGAGTTAGAGACAGCAGCATTGGATTATTTTCAGAAAACAGTCACAAAGAATGAAAATGGGCGTTACGAAGTTCATTTGCCATGGCTGGAAACTAAAGATTATCTCCAGCAAAATAAATCCGTTGCTGAACGAAGATGCATTTCAACTTCAATGAAGCTCGAAGCTGAAGGCCGTTACGAAGATTATGATGCAGTTTTTAAGGAATGGGAAGACTCTAAAATAATAGAATTGGTGCCAGAATCTGAAATCGGGGAAGCTTCTCACTACCTACCACACAGAGGAGTTTTTAAGGAGCATTATACAACTCGTGTCCGGCCAGTAGTCGACGCCTCTTCACATGAAAAAGGTTTTCCTTCGCTGAATGACTGTCTCGAAAAGGGACCTAATCTTTTAGAAGAAATACCACCATTGTTGATGAGATTTCGGATGGACAACATTGGTGT